CCTCTGCTCAGGTTTTCTGGGGCATGGGAGCTGCTGATTCTGCCAGAGGGGAAGCAAGTCCGCATTGTAAGGCTCCTTGGCTCTTGTCTGTAGAGGAACCTCTTTGTGAGCCAACAAAACCTAATGCAGTAGGGTCAGCGGCACGTGGTTATTCCCCATAGCCACTGTCCACCCACCCTGAGGCCCCTTGTGAGTTTTTATTGGGGTGGCGGGGAGTGGTGTTAACAGCCTTGGCAGCTGTGGAACGACATCAGCCATGGAAAAGAGGGGCAGAATCAGGGAAGTGTCTTGTCTCCAACAGTGCGGCCCTGTGGCCTGGGGCCGGTCATCTTTAAAAAAATAAATAAATAAATAAAATAAATAAAAAAAAGAAACATTAGGACATTGGGTCTCCCACCATCAGAGTGGTGATTGTGAGGGCGCAGGCTGGTATCTAGGGAGATGGCCGAGGGTATACCTGGAGCCCAAGGAGGAGGGGGGGGAGGAGGAGGAGGAGGAGGATGGACAGAGGGCAGATGATGGAGGCCTGGGCTGCAGTGGGTATTGGGCTTACGCTCTGTTCCTGCCAGCTGTGGGCTAGTGGCCCAAAGCATTTCGTTTTCATTTCATCATTGTTTGCCAAGGGCACATTTCATCTGAGCTGACAGCTCCCCAAGGAGCTTAGATGTCCTTCTGACGTCCACAGTGCTGAGGGCCTACGTCCCTGGCTGTCACATGAGTGACTCTCACTCACTCCTCTGCTCAGGTTTTCTGGGGCATGGGAGCTGCTGATTCTGCCAGAGGGGAAGCAAGTCCCCATTGTAAGGCTCCTTGGCTCTTGTCTGTAGAGGAACCTCTTTGTGAGCCAACAAAACCTAATGCAATAGGGTCAGCGGCACGTGATTATTCCCCATAGCCACTGTCCACCCACCCTGAGGCCCCTTGTGAGTTTTTATTGGGGTGGCGGGGAGTGGTGTTAACAGCCTTGGCAGCTGTGGAACGACATCAGCCATGAAAAAGAGGGGCAGAATCAGGGAAGTGTCTTGTCTCCAACAGTGCGGCCCTGTGGCCTGGGCGTGCACCGGGTGCCAGGCCCTGTGCTTCAGCCCCACCTCCATTAGTTCTCTCAGTGCCCCATTTTACACAGAGGAGACACAGCCAGCCTGTGGGCACAGGTGGGACCCTTTTTATCTCTGGGATGGGAGGTGTGGCATTCGGTAGTGATGTACTGTAAATCTTTTTTCTTTTTTAAGATGACTGGTAAGGGGATCTTAGCCCTTGACTTGGTGTTGTCAGCACCTTGCTCACCCAGTGAGCTAACCAGCCATCCCTATATGGGATCCAAACCCGTGGCCTTGGTGTTATCAGCACCAAACTCCCCCGAGTGAGCCATGGGCAGGCCCTGTACTGTAAATCTTAAATCACTCACTAAACGTAGCTCACGGCCAGGGGATAAGAGGGAATAGCTGAGGCTTATGTGGCACCTGGGGGACACTGGTGGACGCTGGCTCACCATCCTCCGCACCCACTCCCTCCAGAGTCCCCAGCTGACCCCGTGTCCCCTGTGCCCATCAGGAACCACAAAAGCGGAGGACCGTGGCATGCTGCTCAAGACCTTCAACGAGCCTGGCTCCGAGTACTTCATCTTCTTGCTCAGCACCCGGGCTGGGGGGCTCGGGCTGAACCTCCAGTCAGCCGACACTGTGATCATTTTTGACAGCGACTGGAATCCCCACCAGGTAAAAGCAGGCTGGAGGGGGACAAGGGAGAGAGAGCATCCATGAAGCCTTGTGGAGATACTGCCCCATCTGGAGCGTCCACTAGCCTCTGCAACTTTCTCCTGGACCCCAGGAGGAGCCGCACCTGTACCTCCTTCGGTTGGCAGGGAGAAAGCTGGAGAGGATTTACCCTCCTATGTTCCTCAGAATAAAAACAGCCTTTTCCTCTGATTATGAAAGCTACGTATTTCTCTGTTATTTAAAAGAAAACCGCTGGAATGGCATAATGTGAAAACAGTGGAAAACACCCCTAAGCCTGAGCTGTTACTGTGCTGCGACCCCTCCAGGCTTGCTTTTGACAGCAAAATTTGGGACGAACTCTCCATGTATTTTGTTGATTGCCTGCTGTCATTACTTAGCCATGTGTCCCATGTGGGCCTCCATGCCAGTAGATCCTGGAACATGCTATTTTAGAGAGAAAAGTTTTCAAATAAGTGAACTTTTCTCTATGTTTTATCCTAAAAGTAATAAGTTCTTGTTTTTGTCAAAATGCAAATAACAGTAGCATAAAGTGCAGAGACCCTTCTTCCCCTTCCCCATCAGTCCCAGTGTTTTCTGAGCATCTGCTAGCATCTGTCTGTGCATGTGCATGTATATGCTGATCTGACACAGACATAGGAAGTTCTAGAATGGATCTCTTCCATTCAGCAGTTGATGATGATCCCCCGTCCTCAAGAAGACACATGACTCTGCCCAGCCGTGTCGTCAGCTGCCAGGTGTCCCCACCTATAGCTGCCCCAGGTTGGCCCTACTCAGACCCTGGTTGGCAGGTGACTGAGTTTCTGTGCAGCAGCACAACCACTAGCCCCTCAGGGAGCCCTCCTGTCCCTCTCTCAAAGCACTTGTGCAAGGACCCTTGGCCAGGTCAGCCCTGAGAGGTGAGACCGCTTCATACTCAGACCCTGGTTGGCAGGTGACTGAGTTTCTGTGCAGCAGCACAACCACTAGCCCCTCCTGTCCCTCTCTCAAAGCACTTGTGCAAGGACCCTTGGCCAGGTCAGCCCTGAGAGGTGAGACCGCTTCACCCACAGCAGTGTTCTTTTCACATTCTGGTTGTTTGTGCCAAAGTGGTTTCTCCCCAACCACGGGGCACCAGTAGCATAGCCCACCTGATGGATGAGTGACCTGGGTGGTCACTAGTCTCAGTCTGGGGAAGAATTCCCACCCAGTCCCTGATGACTGGCCAGTTTCCGGAAAGGTGGTTGGGTGCGCTTCCCCCGTCAGCAGGCAGATGCCCCTGGAGCCTGTTATTGGTGACACAGTGAGATATCAGAGGCAACCGCAGGGCCAGAGTGGGGGCTGAGTGGTGGACTTGAGACTCTCCTGTGCCCTGCCAAGAGTTGCCTCTGCCGCCCCCACTGAGTGCCAACTTCGAGTTTGGGAGCATCACTGCTCCCCAGCCTGCCACGCAGCTCTCGGGCACACGGACAGGGTTTTGTGGGAGCTTCCTTGGTCTGTGCTAGAGAGAACAATAAAAATAACACTCACAGCCATGGCTACCACTTAGGCACTGACTACATCAGTCACTGGGCTGCACTCCCAACACCCATTTGCTCATTTAATCTGCACAGTAGTCACAAGAGGGGCCGTGTCAACAGAGTGAGTTCTGAGGCTCAGAGAGGTTGGGCCTGAGCCCTGGTTGCACAACGAGGAAGTGGCAGGGCCCATATTCACCACGATGCTGCCTGGCTTTGCCTGTCCTGTATGTGGCACCTTTGACCATGATAAGGACACACCCAGACCTGTGCAGCTGTGATCAGAGCTGCTTGGGCATATAATCCCCTGGGGATTGTTGTCTTTCTTTCCAAGTCTCTGTCAGATCCCAGTAAGGCAGGAAGTGACCTGGGGGCACAGGCTCCGGGTCCGGTTCCCGAGCTCCCGGCTCACATAGTTGCTGGTGGGATGGGCAGAGTTGCCAGGCAGTGGGGCGGCACTCAAATCAGAACGCCCCCACCTCCACTGCCAGCATGTCACAAGGTCACCTTCCTCCTTAATGACGCCCCAAGCTACTTGGGAACTGACTGGTGTCTCTCTCCTTCAGGACCTGCAAGCACAGGATCGTGCCCACCGCATTGGGCAGCAGAATGAGGTACGCGTGCTCCGCCTCTGCACGGTCAACAGCGTGGAGGAGAAGATCCTGGCCGCGGCCAAGTACAAGCTCAACGTGGACCAGAAGGTGATCCAGGCAGGCATGTTCGACCAGAAGTCATCGAGCCATGAGCGGCGTGCCTTCCTGCAGGCCATCCTGGAGCACGAGGAGCAGGATGAGGTAAGCCCAGCGCCGGCCCCAACCCCCTCCCTGGCGTGAGTGGTGGACGCATGAGCGGCTTTCATTTTTGTTTTTTTACCTTTTTTGCACTCTTATTTTTTTTGCATCCCTTTGGAGTAAAGGGAGTGTGGGCTGAAAGGAAAGAGGATGAGTACTTGCTTTTTCTTTGAAGTGGTTTTTTTTTTTTCAAAACTGCTGGTGAAAGATGCCGGATTGACAGCCCTGGAGACTGAAGTCCTCTATTTATCCACAGAGCAGACACTGCAGCACGGGCAGCGGCAGTGCCAGCTTCGCCCACACTGCCCCTCCGCCAGCGGGCGTCAACCCCGACTTGGAGGAGCCACCTCTAAAGGTGAGAGGGGTAGTTCAGTCTCCATGCCCATTCAATCCTCGGCTTCTCGGCTGAGACATGGCCAGCAAGGGCCCTGATCCCACGGAGCGTGTGTGTGCGTGTGCGTGTGTGCCTCTCGCTGCCGTGTGGGTCCCCATCCACCGCAGCCGGACTGGGACCACCAGCTCATTTCCCACAGACCGCTGCCGCTCGCCTCCGAGCCTGGCCGCCGCCCAGCCCGGCACCCCCGCAGCCAAACTAAAGCTTTGCCATCTTATAGGAGGAAGACGAAGTACCTGACGATGAGACCGTGAACCAGATGATTGCCCGGCATGAGGAGGAGTTTGACCTGTTCATGGTAAGTATCGCTGCAGGATGGCATGGGGCCCATGCCACCCCCCTGATGCCACAAACAAAGCAAAAAGTCTTAGTAACGATGGTGGCATCCATGGCAGGTACTGTTGCTAGGGGCAGCTCTCGGTGTGTGACCTGCTCATGCCTCCCAACTGACCCAGCCTTTATCCCTGGCCTCCTATGCATGGCATAGGGACGGTGGGAAACGCACGGCCCCCCTCTGCTTGTGGCCCTCAGGCTCATCCTCCTGGGTCTGTTTAATGATGAGACCTTGACAGCTCCGCCCACACTTAGAGTTTACACTGGCCACAGCCCTGGCCCCCAGGCTGATGAAGACCTCGGTCATAGAAGCCCCTGGCCTAGTGAAAGCACAAAGTCAGAGTGGGGTCCTCTGGGCTCGGCAGGCCTCATCCCTTTCACTGAGGCTGTGCCCTGGACCTGCCACCCACTGCTGCCCTTCTGCTGGGGTGTGCGGCTCTCCCCATCTTTCCCAGTTTTGTCTGTGCTCCAAGGCAGAGCCCCTAGCCAGGGTCTGACATAGCAGCCAGCCTGGGTCAGCCACTGTAAAACCGAGAGCCGCTGTTTAACCGCCGTGACAGCCTTGGTTCCTGAGGGCAGAGGTGATGTGCCCCCCACCCTCCACGAGCAAGCCTCCACTGGCGGCTGTCCCCAGTGCTGATGCCTGCCTTCCTCTCTGTCCCACGCCCGTCAGCGCATGGACCTGGACCGCAGGCGCGAGGAGGCGCGCAACCCCAAGCGGAAGCCTCGGCTCATGGAGGAGGACGAGCTGCCCTCGTGGATCATCAAGGATGACGCCGAGGTGGAGCGGCTGACCTGTGAGGAGGAGGAGGAGAAGATGTTCGGCCGCGGCTCCCGCCACCGCAAGGAAGTGGACTACAGTGACTCGCTGACGGAGAAGCAGTGGCTCAAGGTACATGCCGGAGAGGGCCGCCACCCCGCACGTTCTGCAGGCCCGGAGAGCAGAGCCCTGCTGCCACCAGACATGCAGGCTTCCCTCCCGCCACTCTAAGTCGGGCTTCATTAATTGTTGCAAGGCTTCTGTCGTGGGCCGGGGACGCTCACTTCCCCCTGCTCCACTGCTGACCTCAGGAAGGGGCCCATGCTGTGACCTAAGCAGACCGAACCTGCTGTTGAGTATCACGGGCCTTTCAAGGATGAGGGTTCACCTCTTCATGAGGTTAAAACAACACTGCTGATCTCAGCAAGGTGCCGGCCTTCCGAGTACCTGTCGATAGGGAAAACACAGTGGCAGATTACTGACCTCAAGTCACCCTACGAGGTGATTTGGAGCACTGACTGGGCTGGGGGCCAGGCAGCCCCGCTTTGGGCAAGTCACACCCATGAGCTGGATTTCTCACTCGGCTGTGGGGGCAGGAGGGTATGAGGCATGCGGCTGCTTGTGGAGGTGATGTGAGAGCTCGTGTCAGCAGGTGGCACTGGTCCTCAGTGCAGCAGCTGCAGGTAGCCAAGTCACAGAGGTGTGGTGCCCGCGGGCCCTCCCAGCTTGGCCTCCTTCCCCCAACCTAGCCCAGGGCGCACTGTGCTGGGTGCTCAGCACTGAGGTCTGTGCAGGTTACAGTGACAAATGAGTGCAGAGGTGATGATTAAGAATCCTGCCCTGAGGCCGGCCCGTGGCTCACTCGGTAGAGTGCGGTGCTGATAACACCAAGGCCACGGGTTCGGATCCTATATAGGGATGGCCGGTTTGCTCACTAGCTGAGCGTGGTGCTGACAACACCAAGCCAAGGGTTGAGATCCCCTTACTGGTCATCTTTAAAAAAAAAAAAAAGAATCCTGCCCTGAAGTCATGCCATAGAAATGTCCCTGAAGCAACAATGCTCAGAAGGCAGCTGGCAGCTTTCGGCCATGCTGTGCCAAGAGCCACACCTAGTAATGAGCAGTGTGGCTCTGCCCATGTCGCCAGGCAACCCAGGTCCCCTCCTGGCAGCTCAGAATACCCCAGATTCATGAGCTTGCCCGCTGAGCTGTGCATGAGGGGGCTGTTGGAGCATGCCAGGGAGCCAGGCGAACCTTAGTATTCTATCTCACTCTCTAGCCAACAGCCCGTTCTCAAGCAGAACATTCCAGGGCCACAAAGAGAAGCCCTAAGAAGAGGGAGTGTGGGCCAGACACAGAACTGTATGGCAGCAAGCCTGTGCAGCTCCCGTGGGAGTTTCACCAGCCCTGCCTTTGTAGACAGCAGGTGCCCTTTAAAGTTAAATTCAACCCACATGCTGATGTTTTGTGTACCTTTCCTTAGATGTACTTTACATACCATACAATTCACCCTTTTAAGGTGTATAGTTCAGTGGTTTTTAGTATATTCACGGAGTTGTGCAGCCATCTCCATAATCAATTTTAGAACATTTCATCATCCTGGAAAGAAGCCCTTCTCTGATCTACTGTTTCTCCTTGATTCCTTTATTCCCTCCAGCCTCAGGCAACACTAATCCACTTTCTGTCCTATAGTTTTGCCTATTCTGGACATTTCATAGCAGTGGAATCATAAGAATATGTGATCTTTAGCTTAGCATAATATTTTCAAGGATTATCCGTTTTGTAGTGTGTGTCAGTGCTTCAGTCTTTTAAGTCTAAATACTATTCCATTGTATATCTATGCTACATTTTGTTTATCCATTTATTAGTTGATAGATATGGGGTTGTTTCCACCTTGGGGCCATTATGAATAATCCTTCCATGAACATTGGAATACACGTAATACATGTTATTGTGTGGGCAGATGTTGGGAGGGGGATTATTCACCTAGGAGTGGAGTTACTGGGTCACATGGTAACTCTGCATTTAATCATATGAGGAACCACCAGACTGGTTTCCAAGGTGGCCACACCATTTTACATTCCCACCAGCAGGGTATGAGGGTTCCAATGTCTCCATGTCCTCACCAACCCTTATACTCTCACCTTTTGATTCCAGGCATCCTAGTGGGTGCGAGGTGGCCTCTCCCTGTGGTTGTCATTTGCGTTTCTCTAATGGCCAGTGGTGTGGAGCATCTTTTCATGTGCTTGTTGGTCATTTCTATATCTTTCATAGAGAAATGTCTATTGAAGTCTTTTGCCCGTTTGTAAAATGTATTGTTCTTTTTCTATTATTGAGTTGTAAGAGTTCTTTACAATTCCCTTATCAGAGATATGATTTACAAATATTTCCTGCCATTCTGTGGGTTCTTTGTTGGGTTTTTATGGCTGAGACTTACTGTTTTGTTTTTTGTTTTGGTGGCTGGCTGGTACGGGGATCTGAACTCTTGATCTCTTGTTATAACACCATGCTCTAATTGAGCTTTCTACTTTCCACTTTCTTGATGGTATCCTTTGAAGCACAAAAGTTTTGAATTGTACTTAGAGGTTATGTGTTTTTCTTTTAGCTTGTGTTTAGGGTCATATCTAAAAAAATAAAAAACATTGGGCTGGCCCGTGGCTCACTTGGGAGAGTGCGGTGCTGATAACACCAAGGCCACGGGTTCAGATCCTATATAGGGATGGCCGGTTTGCTCACTGGCTGAGCGTGGTGCTGACAACACCAAGTCAAGGGTTAAGATCCCCTTACCGGTCATCTTTTAAAAATAAATAAAATAAATAATCAAACATACATACATACATACATTGCCAAATCTAAGGCCATGAAGATTTAGCTGTAAGAGTCTTGTGGGTTTAGCTCTTACATTTTGGTTTATGAGCTAAATTTTATATACAGTGTGAGGTAAGGGTCCAACTTCATTCTTTTGTATGTGGATATCCAGTTGTCCCACCACCACTGTCTATTTTTTAAATTTTTAAAAAAATTTATTATTTGGGGGCCGAGCCCGTGGCGCACTCGGGAGAGTGTGGCGCTGGGAGCGCAGCCGTGCTCCCGCTGCGGGTTCAGATCCTATATAGGGACAACCAGTACGCTCACAGCGCTCACTGGCTGAGCGCGGTGCGACCGGTCTCAAAAAGGACAAAAAAAAAAAAAAAATTTATTATTTTGTTTTATTTTTTGTTGGCTGGCCAGTAGGGGGATCCGAACCCTTTGACCTTGGTGTTATAACACTGCACTCTAACCAACTGAATAACTGGCCAGTCTGAATTTAATTTCATTTTTTGTTGTCAGCTGGCCATTATCCAGTACCACTTTTGAAGAGACTCTTTTTTTACCCACGGAGCCTACATCTTATTATTACATGTCCTATTCATATGTACAGTTGTGGAAAATGTAAAACAGGCACTCTGCTATGCTACTGGTGGGCACATCATTGGTACCACTTTTCTGGCAGCCAGTTTGGTGCTGTGTGTACCAGAAGCCTGCACAATGCTGCTGGCTGGTTGCCCTGCTGGCCTGACTCCTGCACAGGTGTACCTTGTTTTACTGTGCTTCACAGATACTGTGTTTTTTATAATTTGAAGGTTTGTGGTAGCCCTGCATCAAGCTAGCCATTTTTCCAACAGTATGCACTTTTTAGAAATAAAGTATTTTTTAATGTATGTACAATGGGGTTTTCTTTGACATAATGCTACTGCACACTTAGTAGACTACAGTGTAGTTGTAGGTATCTTTTTTTTTTTTTTCCTTTTTTGTCTTTTTTCGTGACCGGCAACGGATCGCAACCCTCAGTGTCGCGCCCGTACCGGACCGGGACCGGCAACGGGATCGCAACCCTTGGTACCGGACCGGGACCGGCAACGGGATCGCAACCCTTGGTACCGGACCGGGACCGGCAACGGGATCGCAACCCTTGGTACCGGACCGGGACCGGCAACGGGATCGCAACCCTTGGTACCGGACCGGGACCGGCAACGGGATCGCAACCCTTGGTACCGGACCGGGACCGGCAACGGGATCGCAACCCTTTGTGTTGCTCCCGCATCTCTCTCAGCCAGTGAGCGGCCGGTCTGTATGTGGGATCCGAACCCTCGGCGGGAGCGCCGCCGCACTTCGCAAGTGGCGCACTGTAGCAGTGCGCCACCGGGCCGGCCCTGTAGGTATCTTTTATATGCACCAAGAAACCAAAAATTTCTGTAACTCTCTTCATTGTGGTAATCTGGAAGTGAACCTACAGTATCTCCAAGCTGTGCTTGTGTTCATTTCCTAGGGCTGCCGTAATAAATTTCCACAACCATGGCAGCTTAAAACAACAAATTTTCTCACCATTCTGGAACAAGAAGTCTGACATCAAGGTGTCGGCAGGGCTGTACTCCCTCCGAAGGCCCTGGGAGAGGATTGTCCTTGGCTCTTCTGGCTTCTGGTGCCATCAGCGTCCCTTGACTTAACTGCTGTATCATCACGAGTCTCAGCCTCTGTCCTCACATGGCTTTCTCTCTGTGTCCCTGTGTGTCCCTTTCTGTCCCTTGTAAGGACACTCTCATCAGATCTAGGGCCCCCCGATACAGGATGATCTCTCCACTTTTGTCTGATTACATCTGCAAGACCTCATTTACAAGTAAAGTCACATTCTGAGGTTCCAGGTGGACTTGAATTTTGGGGATGCTATTAAACCCACTGGTTCCACAGCAGGGCCTTCTCTTGGTTTTTCTTGCCTGCTATGTACCCTCCATGCTGCTCCTTTGGTCTGGATGCTACTTTAGTTCTCAGCTCAGTTGCTGCCTCCTCTAGGAGCTGCCCCCACCCTCAACCAGGACACATCTGCCCCACCCTCTCAAAGTCCCACTCACCCACCTTCCTGGCACTCAACGCGTTTGTCAGCATATTTATGGGATGTTACTGTCTGATCCATAAGGGGAAGGGACCCTGTCTGGTTCTGTTTGCTGCTGTGTCCTCAGTGCCAGGCCCAGACCCCGGCTTCCCGTCATAGCTGTTTAAGCATGAGACAAATGACCAGCCTGTCCCTTCAAGTCCAGGGCCCACTTCCTTTTCTGATTCTGAGATCCCCTAGAAACCTGGCTTCTCATTGCTGTGTTTCAGGAATAAAATACGAAAGATAGTTATTATTAAAAATTAGTGAATAGGGATTGTTTCTAAATTAATATTGTTCGTATTTGTGTCCTTTACCTTAGCTGTTGCACCATGAGGAATCTGTGTTAAAGTCATTTGGATCCCTGGACCAACCAGCCACCAAAAAAAAAAAAAAGTTTTTGCTTTTATTTTTAGCTGTCATTTTGGTATTAGTTAGAATAGCAAAAAAAAAAGGAAACAATCTGAATGCTCCAAAACAAGGGTAGGTTAATAAATTAGGGCCCATTGTGTGCTGAAATACTAAACAGACATAAAAAAAAATTATGTTGTGGGATAATAACCAGCACGCGGTAAACAGCATGGTCCATGGGCTGCAGTTTAGTGTTTCAGTGCGCATGTGTGTGTTAAAGGCTGGGGAGAGTTCTGGAGGTGGATGGGGGTGATGGTTGCACAACGCTGCGAATGTGCTTTACGCCACTGAACTGTATACTTACAGGTGGCTAATGTGGCGAAGTGTATGTTGTGTGTAACTTACCACTATCTTAAAAAACACAGGGTGAGTCTAGAGTGGAGGTGTTCAGGGAGTCACCTCTGGGTGGAGGGATTTCAGGCTCACATTCTATCTCCACAAAAAGAGGATATGACTCCTTAACTTGGCAGGAAGTACAACCATTAATTGTTGAAGGGCAGGCATGTGTGGGGTGCCTGCCAGGGGGTTAGTGCTGGACTTCCTCTACCTGTTCATAGACCCATCGGGACTCCAGTGTGTGCTGTACCCCAAGCCAGCCACGCTGGAAAGACGACAGGTGCAGGGGACCCTCCTCCCCGCCCTATCCGGGCCCCTGGGTTTGCGTTGCGGCCTCTTCTTGTCAACCTGGGTGCTGGCTGTCCTATTTTACTACTATTGACCCTGAAGGCCATCGAGGAGGGCACGCTGGAGGAGATCGAAGAGGAGGTCCGGCAGAAGAAATCATCACGGAAGCGCAAGCGCGACAGTGACGCCGGCTCCTCCACACCGACCACCAGCACCCGCAGCCGTGACAAGGACGATGAGAGCAAGAAGCAGAAGAAGCGCGGGCGGCCACCTGCCGAGAAGCTGTCCCCAAACCCACCCAACCTCACCAAGAAGATGAAGAAGATCGTGGATGCTGTGATCAAGTACAAGGACAGGTAAGTGGAGGAGGCGGGGTGGCCGGCGTTCTGGAGGGGCCTTCCGTGGAGCAGGCCTGGCCTCCATGCTCTGGCCTTTCTTGCTCAGAGCCTGTGGGCCACTGGCTTGTTCTGTCATTCCCAAACATTGGTTGCATTTCATGTGGCCGTGCCTGCCCTCGTGGAACTGCTGTCCTGAAGTAAGGCAGCACACGAGTGGAATCGGCCATGATAAAGTGAAAACAGTACATGGAGAGGAGGTAGAGCAGCAGTGCCGGTTTCAGGGAAGGTGACATTTGAGAGGAACCCTGAGGAAGGGATATTCAGGGACAATCTGGGGTGGAGAGGTCCCAGGAACAGCAGTAGTCTGGCAGGTTCAAGGTCAGCAAGGAGGCGAGGGGGAAGGAAGAGGTACACGTGGTGATGGGCACCGATTGCGTGGCCAGGGGTGGCTGGATCAGAGCAAGTGTCTTTCCTACTCTGGTCCTCTCCCACCCCCATGGCCCTCCTGGCCTCCCTGAGCCACCGTGGGTCAGCCTCAGTGGACAAGACAAAAACCAGACTTCTGGGCCGAGCCCGTGGCGCACTCGGGAGAGTGCGGCGCTGGGAGCGCAGCAGTGCTCCCGCCGCAGGTTCAGATCCTATATAGGGATGGCCGGTGCGCTCACTGGCTGAGCGCGGTGTGGCCAGTTTTATACCCAGGAGAGCTGTGCGCACGTGTCCACATGGACAAGTGGTTCCATGCAGTTTTGTCAGAATTCCCTAAAACAGGAGTCAGCCCTATGTATGTCCACAGGGGAATGAATCGGTGGTGGCCAAATTGTACAGGGTGGTTCTCACAGTCCAAGAAAGACACCAGTGCTACCCGGGAGAAGAGTTTTATACTTTGTTTAATGAAAGAAGCCAGACAGGAAAGACACCTACTGTATGCTCCCAGTTCTGTCAAGTTCAAAAGCTGATCCACAGTGATGATTGTTGAAAAGTGGTTACCTCCGATGGAGGAAGTAACAGGAAAGCTGCAAGAGAGGGCCTTCCAGGATGTTGGGAATATTCTGTCTGTAGATCTGGATGTGTACATCAAGATATACACTTAAGATATGTGCACTTTCCTATATTACGTTATATCTTGGTTCTTAAGGAAAAAAATGATCCAGTCTTAGACCTGCTAGAAAAAATTTTTTAAAAATGAGACACTTAGAAACTGCATACTGAGCTTGATAAGGCCTGAATATTTTCTTTTTTTTTTTTTTTTCCCCTTTTTGTCTTTTTTCGTGACCGGTAACGGGATCACAACCCTCGCTGTTGCGCTCGCACCGTGCTCAAGCAGTGAGCAGACCGGTCTCTATATGGGATCCGAACCCTTGGTGGGAGTGCCGTGCGCCACTGGGCCGGCCCAAGGCCTGAATATTTTCAAAGAGAAAAGTATGGCAAGTGTTAGTCCATGTTCTTAGTCAGTCTTAGATGTACCAATAAAGCTGCTTTAGGACCACAGTTGTGTGTCATGTGACAAAAGAGAAAATGTCAAAAAAAAAAAAAAAGAAAATGTCTCCTGTCCTCATATCCTCCTGGAACAGATGGATTCACAGAACTGGGAGTTGCCCATTGGACTGGGAATAACTGCACTGGAATTACGGGGGGGAGAACAAATACGAGTATTAAAAGAAACTCCCAAGTGCCGACATGGAGAAACGTTTTGTTTGCAGTTAGTGTGGGTTGGTCCACTCACTGCAGTGTGGTTTGCTGGTGGTCAAATGGGAAAAGATCAGTCGGGGCACAACTCAGGAAAGATAGTCACATTTTTCTGGTTGGAGAGCTGCCTCATTTGGCAAATAATTTCAAAGATGATGTTTGGGTCCAAAATTGGCGTATTTCATGGATCTTAGTGGCAGTCCTAACTAAATTTGAAACTGAGGGGAAACAACAGTGTAATTCACTCTGCTGTAAGGTTCAGGAACAGTCCAAAGACCACCCTCAGGATTCCTGGGACTCAGTGGAAGCTGTTATCTTCATGGTCACAGTTTACTGCAGTGAAAGGCTATTGCAGTAAAATCAGCCAAGGGCTCCCCACACCAGCCAGCCACCAAAAAAGTAAACAAATTAAAAAAATCAGCCAAGGAAGTAGGCACACAGGGCAGTGTCCAGGATGGTTCCTGATGCAGAGCTTCCAGTTGTCCCCTCCCCGTGGAGTTGCTGACAGTGCTGACTTGCCTATTGATGCTGAGATGATACGTAATGTTGCCAACCAGGGAAGTCTCAGTGTTCAGAGTTTTTACTGGGACTCGGTCATGTAGGCATGGCTGACCATGCATGTGGCTGACCTCAGTCTCCAGCCCCTCTGCAGGTCAGGCTGATACTGCATGACCCAGAGCCCCCACCCTAAATCACCTTAGACTCTTCAGTCCCAGGGCCTCCAAGTAAACACACACCCCAGTCAGGTGTCTTTCAGGGCCTTGGACACCTCCCAGGAACCTAGGGTAAAGGCTCATTTTGCACAAAGCTAAATTCCTTATGACACACCTGTCAGACACTTGGAAGGTTCCAAGTGACTGGCTACTGGGCAGGTGGTACTCATGAGTCACACCTGGCCCCTCCTTAGCCCAGCCCATCTGCACCACATTGAAGAGAGCTTGAGTGGAATAAAATTAGATGTCACTTACCAGCTCACTTTTTTGCCTCAAGCTTTCCATTATTCCTTTCCAGAAGACAAAATAAAACATTCAAGAAAAACATTTGGATTATGTTTTTTTTGTTTTTTGGCAGCTCTCTGCCATGGGGATCCAAACCCTTGACCTTGGCGTTACAAGGCTGTGCTGTAACCAACTGAGCTAACTGGCCAGCCCTGGATTGCTTTTCTTTAATTTGCTTTCCAGAACCCTCTAATTAACTAAGCTCAGTGATTTAGTTAAACATGGAGCTTGAGAGAATGAATCGTTAAAGCTTGCTTCTTCATGGACACCAAAGAATGATTACAGCATGTCATCATCGTTGGGTTGAGTCAGAGGCCTGCCTTGCCAAGAGGAGAGTGTGCTTCTGCAAGTTCTGTTCCCAATGACTGTATGTGGAAGCCGGGTTGTCCCTTGATGTGGTGATACCCAAGGACAGAGGTGGCTCAGCCAGGCACCTGCTGGTATGTCGGAGCGAGACACTTGTGGAGAGGCATGGGCACCCTTCCTGTCCATTGGAATCATTCAGAATGTTGCTTTTGATGGTTTATTTTGACATTTTTTAGCTCCCCTAGGTTAGCATTTTAGTACCAGTGAGTGGAATTGCACTTGGTATTACCTTTGTGTTTACATCATTGAATGTGTACAGTTGTCTTCTCACAAAGCTTTTACTCTGTTTGTTCCTACTTGGATGCCGGGTTGCCACACCGATCCCTCCCAGGGCCCCTGGCGCTGTGTAGGTGGTGCTCCCTGGAGTGGTGCAGTGCCCAGCTGTTGCAGCTGCCACCCTGTATGTCACCCTTCATGCGCTGGGCGCAGTGCAAATGCCTTTCCTGCTGAAGGGTCCAGTCCGTGGAGCTTAGAGAGCAGTGCGGTTCTGGTTGAGCAGTGCTGGGCTGGGTGTCTACCCTGAAAGTCAGCAGGGTCCACCCGGAGGAGAGGTGGTGCAAGGGTCATCCGCAGAGGGAATGGCATGTGCGGAGGCCTGGAAGCTGGAGTGCACAGGTGTACAGGATGGGAGGAAGCCGAGCAAGGCCCAGGGTCTCAAGCGGGGCCGAACCAGCACCTTGGCTTTTGCAGGCGTCCCAGGCCACACGCCTGCTGCTCTCAGAGAGAGCACTTCTCCTTGGTGGGATGAAATCTCAAACCACATTGAGGAACTTGCCAATGTCAAAACCAGATGAAGAAATTAAGTTGGAAGGAGGAACTTTTACTTTAAAATCAAAACATGCAGAAAAATGAAGCACGGGCTCCTAGGTCAGGGCTGTGTATACTGCCAATTGGTGTCTTTGTCCCTGGATCCTTTAAGAGTGATCAGCAGCGGGTGGCTTAGGCTCTCTGGGGCATCTCCCTCAGTCCTCCCCTCCAGGTGCTGTCTCGGGTCTGGCCTTGGTGTGGGGTTCAACCCCTGACAGCAAGTGGGCAGAAGCATTGCCGCAGTAGGCACCGAGTATCAGACAGTGGTGTGGAATATCTTGAATTTGAGGATTGTGCGAGGTCATGTTGAAGAACATCCTCGTTCTCAGGAGACACATCCTGACAGTTTCAGTGCTATAAGAGGTATGATGTCTACAATTGATAGTCAGAAAGATGGTGATGTGTACAAGCCTCCCAAACTGAGCCTCGCCAGGGCTCTGGCCCCACTGTTTGGGTACTCTGGGTCCCCTTCCTCACTCTCCCCACCTGGAGGCAGGAGCCCTGTGTTGCTGCAGGGTTCCGAGTGTCCTAGAGATCAGAGTTCCACACTTGTCTCCGTGCCTCAGTTTCTAAGACTGCTGCACAGGAGCCAAAGTCCCCACATGGAACTCTGAAGGATCCCAGTGGAGGTAACATGGGCCAAGCACACAGCCCAAGGCTAGCACTGCATTTGCTCTGGGAGAGCGGAGCTGGGCCCAAGGAGATGAAGGGCTCGAGCCCAGGAGGGGATCTGGTGCCCAGCCAGATTCGTGGTGACAGCTTCGGCCTCGGCCTAGCTCAAGGGCTGGCTACCCTGTGCAAGGTCTGTCTACACTCTCTCTCCGCCCTCCCATGAGCCCTGCACCTCCTTGCCTGGAATTAGAAAGCAGATGACTCTTCAGATTTGAAAGGTTGTACCAGTGAAACAGGTTACCAGGCTGAAGCATTCTGCAGGAGAGGTCTTACCAGGTAGTAAAAGTGTCTGCCACTCTCCTCTGATCCCCCAGGACAGGTCCGGGAGGCCATGAGCTCTGCAGCTCTCGTACTTTGGAAGGCTGTTCTAGGTGTCCTGTAGAGTCTAAGCCAGGGCTGGACGTACTCCAGGAGCAATGGAGCAAGAGGTGCCCTCGGCCCGCGGTTCCAGGTCTGTGGTCATCACTGTCTACGTGGTGTCCAGCCTGG